AAAAAGCTCTCGGGTCATAGGCCCTCGAGCTTTTTAACTTGTCGCCCTCGAGAATATAAACATCACTATTATGCCCTTAATACATAAATAACTATTATTCGAGTGTGCTTGAATGTCATAAAAAATGATGTTACACATTTTTGATAGATTCTTTATTACTCTTTCATTCTTCTTTTATTGTTTGTTTTGTTTTCTTCTGTCGGTAGGTACATTAATGTATTTTCTGGTATAGAATGCCACTTATTGTTATGTAAGCTTGTAGAGGGAGTATTGATGGCTGCAAAGCTTTTTCTACCCCTTAATAAAGAAATATTATTATTATATTATTATACCTATAGTGAGCTAATTGTTACCTAATGTTAATTATCCAAATCCAAATGAAGCGACAAAATATCTTGTTAGACATCCCTGCACATATTTCAAATACTTTGTACAGTTTATGAGTTTACCTATACATTATAAGTTATAACAAATAAAGGACCGGTCTAGGGCAGGTAATTAACCTTGGCCATTGAATAAAAAATTAAGTTTATTCAATGCCTTGGCCGAGCCACATTTCTGTAAATAATTAACGACAAATTAGTTTTAAGGCATTAATCGTATTGTATTTGGATCATTCTGTGTTTCTTAGTCAACGCAAGCACATGTTCGCGTTATCATAATGTTTTCTTTAACCCCAAAACATATCCAAACAATTTTCTTTAGACAAAAAAATCAAATTTTTTTGACAAGTTTTTAAAAAGATATCCTATTTTATTTAGAAGAAAAATCCAACTAGACTGTATTTATCAGAAGCGTGATTTTTTACGCTACATTAGAAAATTATCAATTTCGTGAACTTTTTGACTTTTGAGGGTGATAGAGGTCCTGCAGTTTGAGGTATATAAGATATTACCAAAGAATTCTGTAAAAACGCACATTATTTCATCGAAGTAACTAATTTACCAAACAGTTCCCATCAATAGGTAGGTACACACAACATACTTAAATTTGACCTCTAAACAACAAGTGATGCATACAGAAAGACTAGGTACTCCAAAACCACATAATACCTTATAATTATATACCTTTGATTACTAACCATTTACCCCCAGAGGAGAGGACCTACACACTATCCATAAACGCATGATACAAACTTTTAGGAAAACTCGCGGAATGTCTCATAATTATAATGTATAGGTAGGTACTTACTATTGATCAGCGGCCTATAAGACAAATTAAACTGAAGGACATATTCAATATACAGAACGGGGTTGTAGTGTTTGTCTGCAGAGAGCAGGGTATGCTACAATAAGGTATTAATAGAATATGGCCTAAACGAAAGTGACGGATACCAGTACAGGACCTCTTTTACTTGCGTACAATCACTATAAGTATTAAGAATTACTATCTCCGTGATTACTAAATACCAGTTTCGGTAAAAGAACAATGTATAGGTAGGTATATAGGTAAATAGTAACAGAGTACTCCAACGGTCAAAGCATCCTCTTCATACATATTGATGTCCACTTTCTAAAATCACATGTAAATCGTTGATATAGGAGTGATCTATAGATCTTCACAGCTATGTAAAATTCCAAGCTGACCTTACCGGTTTGGTACAGCGATCATTGCAACCTCATTTTTGAATATGGAACATTTTATAATTAAAGATTGCAACACATAATTTATACGAATATGTTTTCTTGTGTTTGAGACCAACGCGAGACACCAAATTAAAGACCTTGGCCTCCTATTTAGTAATAGGTTATCATTCAACAACTCTACTAGTAAGGTAACTAAGAATGCGTTAAATTGGTTTAATTCCTCCTCAATCAAAATGAGAAATTTCCATGTTAAACTTTTTTAATTTTTAGAAACCGACGTATTTCAGTAGGAATACCTTAACAACTTTCAGTTGGGTCGGAATGTTAATCAGCACATAAAGCTGCAAAATCTATTTAACCAATCTCTATTTTGCAGAATAATATGCAAACTCCATTAGATCTGAGACACCCTGTTATATCTACATATTTTGCGAGTGGGATGTAGGTACACCGTTCGGCGTTTCTCGTTTTAGGCCTATAATTCTCATACCATCATCAACTGCTACCAAATTCCAATCGTGTCTCGGTCCTTTATTTTTTGTTCTTAGACTTGGGGTGACTTTCCATATTTTAAGCGACTATGTAAGATTGTATGGACCATACTGCGCCTTCAATTAGACAATGGAAGAAGGAACGACAAAAAGTTGTGCTTTCTTATTTTTGAAAAGTGGGATTATCCATTCGCCCTATAGACTCCCAATTTGCAATTAATCCATAGCGGCGATCTACATATACATACAATGCTATTCATTTAGAAGTAGACATAGGGATTTCCTATGTCTACTTTTAAATGACAAAAATCCTTCTGAAAGACGCCTGATTTTATGCAATCGAAATAATAGGCTCGCGCATTTTGCATAGTCATTCTAGATTTTTTAAATAAAAACGACAGCATCCAGACTACTGATGAATAGATACTAAATTCGGCCGCTATTTCCCGCAAGATTCTTTTCCACAAAAATTAAAACATTCAGTTCATATCCTCCGTTAAAATTGAGGGTTGTTTACGGTGTGTTATGTGGGTCGCATTTCAATAACTAATAAATAAATAACTTAATTTTGGTACGTAGAATCCAAAACAATTCGTACTTTTTCGATCAGACTTCTCAATCAAAAGATATACACTAGAAAGAAACCAATTTCGAAAGAAAATTCAAAGGGCTGTAACTTTTGAACTAGTAGCCCAATCTTGGAACTGTTTGAAATTATGGATTCTACAGGCCACGTTCTATAAGAAAAATTTTTTTCCAGGACGATCTGAAACAATTTTTTTTGTGGCAATTAAAAAGGTAGTGTATTACCTTCCTTTTTTCCAAAAATCGACTGCACCAAAATTTCTCGGGAAAACACTTTTTCTTATTAATTTTGGTACGTAGAATCCAAAACAATTCGTACTTTTTCGATCAGACTTCTCAATCAAAAGTTATAGACTAGAAACCAATTTCGAAAGAAAATTCAAAGGGCTGTAACTTTTGAACTAGTAGCCCAATCTTGGAACTGTTTGAAATTATGGATTCTACAGGCCACATTCTATAAGAAAAATTTTTCCGGGCCGATCTGAGACAATTTTTTCTTCGGGCCCCAAAAAAAGGCAGGTTATAACCTTCCTTTTTTACCAAAAATCGACTGCACCAAAATTTCTCGGGAAAACACTTTTTCTTATTAATTTTGGTGCGTAGAATCCAAAACAATTCGTACTTTTTCGATCAGACTTCTCAATCAAAAGTTATAGACTAGAAAGAAACCAATTTCGAAAGAAAATTCAAAGGGCTGTAACTTTTGAACTAGTAGCCCAATCTTGGAACTATTTGAAATTATGGATTCCACAGGCCACGTTCTATAAGAAAAATTTTTTTCCAGGACGATCTGAAACAATTTTTTTTGTGGCAATTAAAAAGGTAGTGTATTACCTTCCTTTTTTCCAAAAATCGACTGCACCAAAATTTCTCGGGAAAACACTTTTTCTTATTAATTTTGGTACGTAGAATCCAAAACAATTCGTTAATTAGGCGTCCTTCAGCAGAGTTTTTGTCATTTAAAACTAGACATAAGAAATCCCTATGTCTACTCGTAAATGAATATCACTGTATATAGGTAACGTTCCAGAGTATGAACATGCACATAAACGCACGAAAACTGATCTAACAAGGAATTCCCTCAAAACGTGTGTGAAAACCGCGTTTCATGTAAATAGGTATAGTCAAATTTCCATACTGAGGGGATCTTCTAACCTGAGTCTAATCTGTGTTATTGATTTCTTCTTGACACACGACTTTCATAAAGGAAATAGGACAAAGACTAGTGAAGTTTCCCACAGCTATCTTGATAATCATGTTGTATATTCGTTGATTTATTTCAAAATTGTTAATGGCATAGAAATCGAATTTCTATGCACGACACTATATCAATCACTCGTATACAGTATATCTACACTAAAAACGGCTAAATATGCATCTGAAACTCACTAATTTTTAGCAATTTACCCGCCGCTTTACTAGAATATGTAATTAATCGATATAAATTGCATGTACTAGTATTTTTGGAACCTCTTCCAAAAAATGCAGCAAAATATGTGATTATTCACAGAATCACATATGCAGCTACTAACGTTTTTGATATTAATTCTGCAATCTACACACCTCGCCAATAGGACACGTATAGGGCCAAGTACAAGTAAAACATATAAGGCAACTTACCTTGAATGAAGTTAGTGACGCCAAGAAATTAGCTGTTTTCGCATCCAAACCTGAAAACCATAAAAAAAGAAAAACCTCCCAAGCCGCAGGGCTCGATATATATATAATTGGTTAATTAATGTCTGAAGGGCCTCGCTCTACTCGTAATCTGCTCTATATCCCGTACGATACTTATTGACCAACCACTTCAGAAGGAAGTGGTGGTCTCCCAACAACATTCGCGTCTCAAAATCTTTGATATTAAATCGCGTTCATGACCCGATGACCTATTTCACAGCAAAATGGCTGCTTGTTATCAGCAGAAGTAAGCCAAGGGCGTTGGCACTCTCAGGCAACAGTAAGTTTAACACCAGGTTGGAACCTGGTACGTTGAACAAAGTAAAACGATACGGAACTGACACTTCTACTTGAAAGCTAAAAGAAATCACCCCCCTTCGTTATGACATAAAATTTAACTACCTCTTAAACCTATGATAGATGAAGCAAAAATTGTCGATGGAAATTACAGCCGAAACCTAAAGAAGGTACCTACACTCTAAATCAACGTCTCTTAAAGTGTGAATATTACTGTTACACTCACTTTGTATACTGCCCTCCTACAATAAGGTTGCAACGAACCCAATTCTCTGGATCCATATCATCAGGAAAGTGTGATTGTATCCACATCGTTACAACCATAAATGTCCCACAGAGGGCGCGACAGTTTGAAAAAACCAAAATCTGAGAATTGTTTATAAATATCACCACTAATCTTTATAATGACATCCAGGTTTGTACAATAATAGAGTAAATACAATGAGAATAAGTTAGTATAACAATTAATTATGTATATAAACAACATTATTAAAAGCTTACAGTGAAGCACTTCTAAAAGGCACCATCAATCGCACGGCAAACATTTAAGATTCAACTTCTGGTTGTAGATCGAACCAAAATGTATTTGATTGGGTTAAATTAAACTTGCCCAAATCAATAAGCACCTGCATTACACGAAAATATTTCAAATTGCAAATCTACAAGTTATATTTACCTGGCCCATGGTGTTACTTCCTGAAAATAACTGCTTTTGTGTAGCTACCGTTACTTCAAGCTGTTGGGTGTGTAACTCTCCTTGGGACAGTACATACTCGAAAGTTACATCGAAAACTGGGTTACAATTATCTTTCACAACCTAAACGATGCACTCTTAGAAGTCGCAAATTTAATGTACTCATTACCTGTGTTTTTCGTTTCGATTCCTTCGACCTACCTGGTAACAAATACAGCTTGACATACGGGTCGGGTATGTTAGACGGATCTTTGGATGGCAAAGGCAGATTGCTAAAATTATTCGCTTGCACCGAATCACACCTACATACTACTTACGCTATCTTGTGAATAACCACAATTAGCCGCTGTCTTTGAACGCTGTAGCGCAGTGTGATTTGAATCCGTCCAAGACCGGCCTCCCCTGCCGAACTGCAATGGCGAATTGCACACACTTTTCCCCAATTGTTTACTTACAAAGTGTCAGTAAGAGTCCTATGAGTAAGACCGTTGCCTTGAGATTCTGGTGGAACAGCAGACTGCAAAGGGACAGAAATCTGCTCGAGAGATTCTGTACCTTCTTGTACATTAGATTCTGTTTCACTTTTTAATGAGCTTTCGCGCGAAATCGTTCTTTTTGAACCTGTAGACAGTTCAGAATCGTTACGCTTAAGCTTGGAAATGTGGTCCTCGGCTTCGGGAATATAATGTTTCAAAATCTATGGATCAGCTGTATTTATATTATCGTGGCTGCGCAACTTACCCTTAAATGCATTGAAAATGTAAGCTTGGCCTGCGGGCCACTCTTCAATAAGCCAAATGGCTGTAAATTGACACACAAATTAGGTTTCTCAGACAAGGCGCACAAGTTGTAGGTCAGCTCGCCTAGACCAGCACCTGTTTTATGATCAATAAAATTCAGATACAACGTGTCGGCATTGGGATTATTAACCAAAAAGTTAAAACCCTGTTCCCAAACCGGGTCCGAAGTTTTCTTCTTGACTGACGTCTGTTGGCTTTCTCGCCCGACTGTTAACAGCAGGTACGGATCGGGTTTGCTTTGAGTACGGGCTTGCTGAAATATCAGTTTCGCAATACACCCCCACTTAGAATACGACTTACAGGCAAACCCTTGGCTGAATCTACGTAAATGATGAGTAGAGCTGTACTCATCGAGGTAACTTGTAGCATTTGCGTTTCCTCCAGCACCTAAGATGACAATTTAAAGAAAGCTTAGGCACTTTTCGCGCAGATTACCGCACGTAGGTCCGAGTAATTGGTAGTTAAGACGAACCAAGTGAACCGTACATGGACCATGCCGTGTTTAGCTTGTTCAAGGGTGATCCACTAAAAATGATAATGAAACTAGACATATTTTACTAAAATATCGCATACCATATCATCTTCTCCCTTCTTTGCGATTGTATTGATGTCAATTGCAGCTCTACAATTATTGTACAAATTACGTTGAATGTCAAAAGTAAAAATTAGTACCAAGCGTTTTTTATTATTTGAAAATTAATAAGCAAATTAAAAATTGCGATTCTTTAAAGCTTTGATTACAAAGATTTTCAGTGCATACAAAGAAATCAAACCCCGGAATTGAAGAAATACCCGCAATATTCGTACGAAGTGTACCTCTAATCTTTTAATGCCTCTTCATATATTACCTATTTAATGAGTGTTTGAAGAGTAGATTTTTGAATCAATTGTTTATGATAAACTCAAAAACTCTATCAATTATTACCTTTGCGACGAACAACATGGATTCCGAAATGGACGATCTTCTACCACTAATCTTCTCCTACTACAATAGGCACCATATGAAGCAATTCACAATAATGCACATCTGGACATCATATATACAGATTTCGCCAAAGCGTTTGACACAGTTGACCATATAATTTTGACAAGGAAATGGATTTCACTGAGTTATACTAAAATGGATCAGTTCATATTTATGTGAGAGGAAGTTGACAGTAAAGGTAGCTGAAGAAAGGTCAGACTTGATAGAAGCCTTATCAGGAGTGCCCCAAGGTAGTCATCTTGGACCTCTCTTGTTTAGTATATATGTTACCGATATACCATATTCTCTGAAGAACACTTCTTGCCTGCTTTTTGCAGATGACTTGAAATTATTTTGCGTTATCTCAACCACAGAGGACAGCTTTTTACTTCAAAGGGATTTGGATGAATTGAGCAAATGGTGCCTAAATAATTGCATGTCTCTGAATGCTAGTAAATGTAAATTATTTACAAAATCGAGGAGAAAAACAGTTCACGCATTTAAATACTCTATTAATAATACTCCGCTTCAAAGAGTTCACGACATAATGGACTTGGGTGTACTCTTTGATGAAAAATTGACTTTTAGCCAACACATACGAAAAGGTTAATAAAGCTTTCAAAATGCTGGGCTTTATTAAAAGAAATTGTGCATCCTTTCGTAATGTCTATGTTTTAGTGACTCTATTTAACGTCTACTGTAGGAGCACTCTGGAATATGCTTGTCCAATATGGTCACCTAACTTCAACTATTTGATTCATAGCATTGAACGAGTGCAATCCAAATTCCTGAATTATATAAAATTAAAATCTGGCAATTTGAATTCCAAGAACATCATCATGGCAAAATATAATATTATACCGCTTGAAGACCGCCGGAAAATAGCTGATGTCCTAATCGCAGCTAAACTACTAAAAGGAACTCTGGATTGTCCTAAGCTTCTTAGTGCTCTTCAATTCACGATACCTCAAAGAACTACCCGATCAACTTTTTAAAGAAGCTACCTATCGATACAACTACACTATGAGTCAACCGTTAGCAAGGATCCCTGCTACATGCAATGAGTTTCCAGAAATAGACTTGTTTTATTTATCAACTAAACTCATCGCAGACCTTCTGAAACGACAATTTTAAACAAGACATCGACATCGACATAACATTTAACTTTTTACTGTTTTTTAGCATTGTAGGAGCGATTTAGATTAGATTAGTTACATTTTTGTTTAAATATAGTAGTTTAAGTAATTTAATTTATTCTTATGATTAATATCTAATCATACATTGTTATTTTTTTACTAAAGATGTGTTATTTTGATTATATATTAAGTAAAATATGTTATTGGAATTAATGTCTAAAATATTGGCTTGGCCGTCAATAAAGATATATAATAATCTAGTTACAGCTGGATGGTTGCAATACAGATGGTTATTTACATTTTAAATTTATTTAAAGTCAAGTTGTCTGATTAGTGAACGATGATTACTTATTCAATGGTGAAAGTTAAAAGTGTTTACGGTCAGAGCAGCCTCCGAGAATCTTTTTGATCTTGTTTTTCAAGCTACTTCAAGTTACTGAGTCAAGTTTTTTTTAAGACACTGAAACTAGCAGCGTCTTTGATAAGTATGTCTGAATATCGCAAACTATTCACGACCAGATTATTAAGAGGACCTATTAAGGGAAAAAACTATGTAATTTTAAGATTTTCTTATTTTTAATTATTGACCATCTGCGTGCAGGGTACTATGTCGAAACAAGCTTTGTAAGTTTCTTTTTATTTCAGGAATTTCGTTTTTATTATCATTCAATGTGTTACAATACTGTTCATTTCAGATTTTTCTTTCGTATCCAAGATTTATTTCAATCATTGATGAAAATTTGCATAGTAAATTAATTTAGGTCAATATTGGCACTTATCTTTGTAGTGCATGCCGGAAGTATACAAGGAAAAATTATTAAAAAAATTTTGATTTGTTTCAGTTAGCTGGACAGTGGTTTTGTTAACCGCACGCCTTTGCACACAGCATTATTTATTTGGCTCCCACCGTAGAGCCCCGGTAATATAATTGAAAATATTTTAGATGAAACAGTTTCATTGAATATACCCTTCAGAATTCTATTTGAGGTATGGATATGGAAAAAGATGTACTACAAAAATGGACTGATTCTCGGATTTATCTAAGACAAGGACAGGTGTACAGTTTCTTGTCAACATATTCGCACCTTGGCGCATAAGTATTTTATAATTAATAAATGTTGTGATAGACCCATATCTGCGAGATATGATATGTACCTACTTAATTCCAAAAAGGCCCCAATGTACCAAATATATCAAGATCAGAGTGCACTCCCATACTGAACACTGTTAAAAAATATACTTAAAAGCCTAATCAAAAACATGCCACTTATTATTTATTACTTATATCACTATGCTTTTTGGATGTTATGGAGGTGTCCAGTGTAGCCATTAAAACCGCATTTTCTTAATCCTGGCGAACATACAAGCAACTACACATTGTAGAAATGAAAATTTTCCGTATTCATGGACCAAATGAGAAATTATTCATTAATCATTTCGTGTAATCAAAGCTTTAAAGATATATATTTCTCATTATTAGGCTGAATTAAATTTATTGTAGTATGGCATAAATGTATGTAGCTTATCTTTTTGAGTAAACCACAAACAATTGTTTGAAAAACAAAATAAGTACGTTATCAGTAAACTTAATGTTTAAAATGTATAAACAATTGAATGATATTATTCGTGCAACAGGCAAGCAAAGGGGGTTATCAGGCAGCAGTATAGCAACTAGCTAATTTGTTACGGTTTGTAAGCAAACTAAAGAATATCAACTCAATTGCTTCTACTAATACACATTACTAACAAACAAAAAGTACCTTCCAAGTAAATCGTCATTTTGTGAACCTGGAAATCCTGGATCCCAGTCCCATACGTGAATAGTAACAAGCTGCCCTTCTATTGAGTCAACCATAGCCTAATATTTGTGATTTATGTTTACACCAATGATTCGCAATGCATTATAGTGAAGTACTCATGCAAGTTAGTTCGACATAAGACATGCTTGGAAATAGATTTCACAGAACAAAGCACATAAATTTTACTCTACCGCCCTCCTTTTCTTTAAATCCATATTACCTGCCCAGATCGTCATCCTTTGATCCGTCATCGTAGTCATACAGGTGCAGAATTAATTGTTGGCCATTGGTATCCATAACCGCAAACTAATAAACGATTTATCAAAAAACAAACAGAACTAACAAAACAAAAGGTGTCTGTGTGTGTGTGAATGTTAACCAAATGTAAATCTCACTCAGAAACTCCACAAAACCACCAACATGCAAACTGAATTAAAATTGGTGTGCCTTTGAACAGAGAAACACAACAAGTTACCTCGCACCAGTAGTCCCACTTTGGGTCTACAGTATTGTCAATCGTTTGTGTACGGCGCTCCTGCGCCCCGACGTTCAGAACACAATACGGATCCGACTTTCCTTTACCTAAAATACCAATATCCTTCCGCATTAAATTTTTCGCCTCGATAACATGAATTCTTAATACACCCTTTAACCAAAACACAATATGAAAAAACCGTTCTCAAATTCGTCACCTTAGTCACCTCCGGCTCGGGAACGTTCAGCATTTCCGACTCGACGTGCTTGCTCAATTTCACCGGTAACTTGTTCGGTAGCACCATCAGAGACGACACTTGCTCCAAGATCAGCTGACGCAATAAATCGCTGGAAACGAAAGAATTAGAGAGGGCGAGTTTCGTCAGTTATACCAAACCTAAAACCTGGCAGATCGAGAATGTCGACGAAACCGACCAGGTTGAAGTCGATTGTGGGATTGTTTAAGAAGTAAATCTGCAATCCACCGATTAACGGCATTCGGGATAGCAACGGTTTCAAAACGACGCGCAGTGTTCCCTGCAACTGTTTCCGAAATTTTTATTTATTACGTGCTACTCAATTGATTTTGGTTGATTAAAAATAAATGTGAGTTTTCATTGTAAATTTAATATATCTGATAGTTAATAAATTTTGAACACTAGGTCCTTCCTATATTCGTGAAAAATTCACGTGATTGTTTTAAGGACACTTGCAAAGACCTGATATTTATGTTTAAGCATTTGATGGAGAAAAAAGCGTTTTAATACAGCAAATACGAATGCTGATACAACTTTTTACGAAACCTCGACCACCTTGAACAACAACAGAGTATGAGACACAAATTTCCATACCTGAAAGTCCTTAATCCCGCCTTTAACTCCAGCACCCATGGTAAAGCTCAAATTGCAATCACCTGCATAACTAAAAATCGCAATAAAGACGTAAACACATTTTAAATGAGCTACTTACAAAAGGTCTAAATCGAGTATGATCTCGTGTCGAGCAACGTTTGCCTCGTACACTTTCACGCCCCCAACTCGTGGCGGCTGTAAACAATAGATATGTAGGTACAAATGGCACAATAACGTGCACTTACAATGCTTCCCAAAATCATCTTCTCAAATTTGAATCCTGTTAGTTTGAATTTCTGAAGTTTCTTTTGCATTTTCGGTTGAATTTTGTCACGAATTAAGTCCCGTACATAGGAATTTACGCTGGGCCATAGCTGCTTGAAAATCTGAAATTTTATTATGGGTGTTAAGTGTATTCAAATAGAAAGGTATATATAAGAACAAATGAGATGTGATTACTTTGTACGTTTCGCCACTAAAAAGATACCGAACAGATATTGTATTAATTTAATGCAACAAGTGGTTGAAAACTTTTGGAAATAGGTAGTCTAGTCTTCACAAATGCTGGGGGGTATTCCAGTAACACGTTCTTCCACAAGGGCGCCCAGTCTTCCTAGCTCTCATCATTTTTGTAGAGTATTCAATGCGCCACATTACCATGTTGTGAGGTTTGATGATGTTGTCTCACAAATTGTCGTATTGGTGCTAACACCGTAAGTTTCTGGGGGAGAACATAGCTCTGGGGGGTATGGAATACTTCCCACGCAGTACCCCCAACGAAAGAAGTTGATAGTTCCTCTTATAATTATTATGTCAACCTTTGCAAAAAGGTAATCAAGTGTTCGTGCCCCCGATGCCCCTCGCATACCAGGCGATTGTCAAGTGGCGGCCCTTTGCCTTCGAGAAGGGGCTGCTGGCGGCCATTCCCTGGACAAGCGGGCCTGCCCAAGTGAAACCACATTTCCGTACTAATTACTCGCCGGAATTGTATGAACGATAATCTTAAAGAACCCTTTCTGGGCTCCTCGTTAGGAAGGACCAACAAGCTGGTAATGAGGCAGGCTCCCCTACAGAGGTGACGACTCCAAAACAGGACCTTATTCAACGACCTGGTAGTGGACCAGCTTCTATTCGCAAGAAGAATAGGAATGGCACACAGAAAGCGATGGCCAGGAAGCGTCGGCTCGAGGGTAGAACTTCAGGTCAAGCGGATCCTGTGCCAAACACTAAGGTTCATTGGTTCAGGGGAGGCAATCCGACGTCAGGGACCAAGCATCAAATCCGAGGGAAGCACTCCAGGGTCTGACTCAGGGCAGCCTGAGAAGAAGCATAGAAGTTCAGGAGCACCTAAAGTTGCGAGTGCACCACGAACCTATGAACAAATCAATGCGGCGGTGCTCAGGGTGGACATTGTTCCGGTGTCGCACCCGGAGGTGGACAACGCTGAGCCTCAGTCGAGGTGCATTATGGTTGCAATGAATGCAGTTGACAAAATGGAGGGGGGACCCTTTCCTTGGCTGGTAGGGTTCCGCTGGAATCCGCAGGATGCCATTGTGGTCGAATGCCTGGTAGATCTTGGATTGGTTGGAGAGGACCGTCTCTCTTATTAGACCCTGGATGGCGCGTCCCTATGGTATCTGGTGATGGCTGTATTATCCCGTATGACACGGCCGCCACCTTGAAACGCCTCCAGAGGCAAAAGCCTGGCTTCAGGACAAGTCTATGGAGGACGTTCATCTGGGGGAAGAAGCCTGGTAGAGTCCTCCTAGCATTTTGTGTGATAAGGCATACTATCGGGTACTCCCGCGACAAAACTTTCAACCGCACGCGCGAGTTTTGCTCCAGGTAAGTGAGAGGGCGCCGTCGGGAGATGTCGACGAGCTTTTGACTCATGTGGCGATTCTTGATACCGGCCAGGTAGTACTAGCAATATACCAAAAGATACTGCATTTTGTGATTGTGGTGCCACTTGGTACAGCTCTTCCTTATAACCCCGAAGGATATAGCCTAGAGACGAAATCTGGGTGTCAATTTCGCATGATTTTAATCCGAGGAATCCATATTGGTAGCGCCAGAAATGTATTCCGGATAGAGGTATTCAGTCAAAAGCCGCAATTTTTAGAAAATAGCATACTTTTGGTCGAATTATGTTTCTAAGGCACACCCGGTCATGTAAGGTGTCTAGATTTATGTTTTTGGGGTCAGGGAATTCATTTATGGTAACAAAAATAACCTAAGGGCATCGGACATGCATGAGAGGCTTCACTACCACACTTTCTGATGACGTCACGGGCCGTGAAAACCAATATATTCCAAAGTTTTAATATATAAACTTATAATAATACTTAATATAATAAAAATACATATTAACAAAACAAAAACATAAGGTACGTTAATACATGTAGGTACACCTTACACGCCCCTGCGTGCCTTGGAAATACAATTCGACCAAAAGTCGGCCATTTTCTAAAAATGGCGACTTTTGACCAACTTCCTGTATCTGGATTACATTTCTGGCGCTACTCTTGGATTCCTCGGATTAAAATCATTCGAAATTGATACCCAGATCTCTTCTCTAGGTTATATTTAGATTTTTTCAAAAATTTTACAATTAATTACCCCCACCCCCTCTAAAATCTACCCACACGGAAAATGTCACTTGTTCTTCGGGTCAAATCGTCTAAATTGTTCTATGGAACAGTTGTGCCCTTTGTATCACAAAATGCAGTATCTTTCAAGAATTGCCGTTATACCGCTAGTACTAAGGGGATCGAAACTGCCCACATCACTAGGGGAAGGGGGGACGAGGTAACCTTTTTACCCATTTAGAGCACAATATGGGGGAGGGGCCTGTTTAATAGGCCGTCAACTTGCAGTAAAGCAGACAGGCCTACATATCAACCTTCGGTTTACAGGGGGCGCGTAAGAGATCTAAGCCAGGTGGAGGACTCTCTTTATTATCAGAGGGTCAGCCAACTCAACCCTAAGACTTGTATTTATGTCAATAGACGAATTGAGTCTTATCCAATTGCCGATTTCTGTTTCAGAAAACTCATACGATTCGGAAGAGGCTCCACCCACCAGGGAGCTGGCTGACTTGATAAGAGTAGTCAAAATGATGGGCCACTTCTTGTGGTTGGCTGTGATGCAGACGCACACCATGTGGGGTGGGGCAGCTCGGACACGTACATTGGGCTTGTTGCCCACGTGCAGGTTCTGTAGCAATGCAGATGAAACTACAGAGCATGTGGTCTGTCAGTGTGACGCCTTGATCAGAGATAGACATCAGCTGCTTGGTTCCGTGACAGTAATCTGGAACCGGGGGAGGG